AAACTCAAAAATAAATTTAAAAAAATAAAAATAAAAAAAATTAAATAATAAAAAAACCAATATTAAATAAAAAAAATTAAAAATCTGAAAGTAAAAAAAATATATAAATTCCTAAAAAAAAATTAAAAAAAAAACCAATCGCTGAAAAAAAATTTTTTTAAAAAATCTGAATTTTATAAAATAAATAAAGAAAAATCTAAGTTCCAAAAAAAATAAATCCTGAAAAAAAAAATTAAAAAATTAAAATCTAAAAAACCTATATTCTAAAAAAAAATTGAAAAAAATCCAAACCTAAAAAAAAATAAAAAAATCAAATGTTGAAAAAAAACCAAATTAAAAAAATATAACAAAAAAAAAAACAAATAAATATATATCTAAAAAAAAATTAAAAAAACTCACAAATCTTGAAAAAATAAAAAAAAACTTGAATTTTAAAATCATAATAATAATAAATAATAAATTTCAAGTTTTGAAAAAAAATATATGAGTTTTACAAAAAAAAAAAAAAAAAAAAATCTGAATTCTGAAAAAAACAAAAAAACTTTAAAACTAAAAAAAAAAATCAAAATGAAAAGAAAAATCTAATTTGAAAAAAAAATTAAAACCTGGAAGAAAATAAATTAAAATTTTTCAAAAAATTAAATCTAAATAAAAAAAATCTAAACCTAATAAAATAAAATAAAAACTAAAGAAAAAAAAATTAAATCTATTTCAAAAAATTAAAATAAAATAAAAAAATCTAAATTTAAATCTAAATCAAAATATAAAAACCATAATTTAAAGAAAAAAGTCAAAAAAAAAAAACAAAATTTTTAAAATAATATCTAAACATAAAAAAAAAAATTCCAATCTGCCAAAAAAATAAATCAAAAAAAATCAAAAATCTAATAAAATCTTAAATTTTCAAAAAAGTTTAAATTTGATTTTTTATTTATTTTATTTTTATTATCTATATATTATTATTTCATTTCAATATTTTGAACTTTAACTTTTCTGATTTATTATAACATGCAATTATATTTTAGTATTAAAATAACTCTTGTAAAATTAATAGAATAAATAAATAAAAAATAAATAGAATATATAATTAAATAAAAGAGATTTTTTAAAATAGAATATGAATAAAAATTCTAGAAATTAGAAATATATATTATGGAATAAGAAATGAATATATGATAAAAATATAATAGATAAATAAAAATTAAATCAAATATAAAATTAGACAAAAGAAATTTTTTAAAATAGAATATAAATAATATAAGAAAAGCAAAAAAATTAGATAGATTCAACATATGTCATTCTCATTCAATTAAATTTAATTGAGGCTTGAAAGATTTTTTTGATTTTTGGAATTTTATAACATATTGTTAGGGGTGATAACGGCGAGTCTGTCGCTACGTCGCGATCGCTGATCGTGTAACGTCGAAAGAGGCGTGAAGATGTGGCACGAGGTAAGTGAAAGTGTTAGATATTAGTTTGAGTTTATGATAAAAGGACGATATTTTATTCTTGCTTTTTCTCTAGTACATTCCTCTCTTTATATACATGTTAAGAAATCCCAAAAATCCCAAAAATCCCTCAAGCCCCAATTAAACCCCAATTGGGTGAGGATGACATATGTGGAATCTATTTAATTTTTTGGTCCCTCTTACAATATATATAAGAAGAAAAATGTATAAGAGACAAAGCAACAATAAAAACTATTCTTTTTATTATAAAACTTAGATTAATATATAATACTTTCACTTATCTTGTGCCAAATTTTCACACCTCTTTCAACATTATATAATCAGTAATCATGATATAGTAACAGACTTACTGTTACAAACCCTAACAATGGCAAGTATAATTATATATAATAATAATAATAAAACTTTATAATACTGTATATTATAAAAAATACATAAGTTTTATATTTTAATATTTATTACTATTGATTAATTATTTAAAAAATCTTTGAAATTTTAATTAGAAACATTAAGTTTAACCATATAAAAAATGATTTTAGAAAATGATTTTTTAGAAATTTATTTAATTTTTTATTGAAAAAGAAAAATTCAATATAAATTTATAAAAAAATACATAGATTAAACAATTTCATTAAGAAAAATTACAATAAAAATTGATATAGTAAATAATTTTAAGCAAAATTAAATAATTTGTTTTTTTTTGCAACTATAATAAAATTTAAAAATACAATATAAAGGAAAATTTAAAACCTTAGAATTAAAAAAATTTTTTTATTATAAAAATTTTTAAACAAATTCTAGTAATATTTAAAAATATTTAAAACAAAATATAAATAAAAAAATTCATTAACTTAGTTAAATAAATATAAAAGTGATGCTTATATATATTATTTTAGAACATATCAAACTTGTATTGTAAAACAAAACAGATTTGATTTGATTGAGGTTAACAAAATAAATGATTTTAAAATGCTTTTCTTGATTGGATAAATTTATATTAGTAAAACTTTTCTTTTATTAAACTTTTGTAAAATGTGATATATATTAAAATATAATATAATAATAGATTTATCAATGACTTTATAATACTATTATATTATAATATTTTTTATAATTTAATTCAATAGTGGTAACAAGAAAATAATTATTTCAATATTTTTTTATAAGTAATTTCCTTAATATTTCCTTAAAATTATATGACACTTAGCTTGTTTATTAGTTTTTAAATTATTTTTTTAAAAAAATTCCTTTATAAATAATTGATGAAATTGATATACCGATTAATTATAATTGTTATTAACAATTTCTGTTAAAAATAATGTTGAAAATATTTTTACAACCTTAAAAACAATAACATTTGTATATACAAACTTGAATATACTTGTTTAATAAAGTGATTTGCAAAGATATCAATTTTCAATCAGTAAACTTATTGTCAAAATAAGCTTTATTAAGTTTTGATAAATCCAAAAAAGTATTATTAAAGATATAGGTTTAGAATTGATGTCAATTATTTAATATAATTACAATTTCTAGAGATTTTTAAGATTTTTAAAATCTCATAAATTTTAAAAATTTCTGTTATTCTGATTATTTTATTTTTATGAATAAAATAGACACAGAAATATAATACAATATCACATTATGTTTTTGTGTTATGGTGAATTGTAAGAAAATCAAGATGGAAAAATCCGATAAGAAAAAAGTGTAAGTAAGAAATTCTAGAATAGTATAGAAAGTATAACCAAAAATAAACATATAATAACAGGTGCATGCAAAAATATATGTGCAATTAAATAATATAAATATTGATTATAGTCTATATATCTCACTTTTAATAAAATAAACTATAGTTAAAAATAAACACTCACATGGTATCTCTATTTTGTCTGTTGTTTAATCACCGATAACTTGCTTAAAGGACTATATGAACTAGAGATTGACTAGAGAATTGGAAATGTTCTAGCAACTAACAGAGTTCAACTATAAATTAAGAAGTGTTAAGGTTAATAAGCAGTAGAGAACAGGTCAAATCATTATGTGCCTTAAGGGTTTAACTAAATGATAATTACCTTTTACTGACATTATGCAGAGATAATAGCACTAGTGACAGACTTATTAATTGTGTTCACAATACCATGAATAATTAGAATAGCTTGAAATCTAGAAATAGCAGAAATAATTATAATAGTTTTTTTTATTAAACATGTATATAAAGGGTCTAAAGTAATTGGATAAAATTTTAAGCTTCTATAACAGAAGTCATAAAAAGTTTTGTATAAATGCTAATAAATGTTAAAACCTATGTTATAAATTGTATGAGAATTTGAATCAAATCTTTTCCATGCCTCAAGTATTACAATAATATATTTTTTAAAAAAACTAGAGAAGCTTCTAGCCTCTGACTGAGATAACAATAAATTGTTGACCTCCAAATATGATCTTCAAACTTTGATAATATAAATGATAGCAAGAAGTTTCTTGATTCAAATGTAACAGGTTGGTTTCTATTTCCTTGATTGTGTGGCATATACTCTTATAGTTGACCTTACTCATTTTCTGACATAACTTGCGTAGAAATTCAGAGGGTGATAATTATCTAAAGGGTGTACTTCTGAACAATTGTCCTCAACTTTCATTACCTCGGTTGTCACCTTGTATGAATGATACCAATTTTTTTTATCAACCCATATCTTTAAATCCTGATCGTTCGAGTTGTTTTTTATTATTATTTCGACAATCTGGACACCATTCAGAGCAAACAGAAGTTGTACAATAACATTAACGTGAAAAAATAGCCACATTGGAATATCATAAGTTAGTATATAATTTATCGTTTTCAAGCTAAACAAGGTTCGTTCCTCGAAGGGTTCGGGAACCACTCTATAGTCTAAACTCAAAAGAAGTAATGCGATTAATTCATAGATGCCATTAAGGTAAAAAACGAGTTTCCCATTTTACTTTATGCTGCATATAAATTACGTGTCATTTAGGGTTGAATTGATAAGCCGGGTCAGAAATTAAAGTACGATTATATGTTGTCATATCACTTGCAAAATGATTTACTACTAATACTGATACGTGAATACTTACCACCGATAAAATTAAGTGTAAAAAATATCTATGAAAATAAATACAAAAGTTTGGACCCTTGTCACTTTCAATCAACATTGATATGAAATCTACCGGCTAAGATTTTAAGGAGGTATCAATGCAATATATACTACGGTATACAGTATATGATGCGGTTCGAAAAAGAAACGATCTGTCGAAAGACTCGGCGAAATTTTACTTATATCTTAATGCGCAGTTGAGAGGATCATTTATTGAAAAATTTTATTGATACAATACGCAAAAAAAAAAAAAAAAAATACAGAAGTTTATACATGAGTTATCCCATTTTGTATTTATTTATGCACAATAAGTTATAAAATACATTGAGAACATTTTCTAAGTTACAAAATAATTATTTGTCAATTCTTTTAATAAATTATATATTTATTATATGTATTCATAAACATTTGCTTTCGTTTAATTTCTATTACCTTGTTCATTTATTTGATAGTGTGGACTTTTCATATTACGTGCGAATGTGCGCAATGGAGACAATATCAATCCACAAATGCTAAAAGCAGCACCCACCCATATGCCATATTCATCAGTAAATAATTGGAGAAACAGCCCACTAAGAATCCCAATTATTCCAATAACAATACCTAAACTTGCAATTATATCTTTCCCTTTTTTTCTTCGACATTTCCAGAAGGTGCACCATGCAACAATAGGGATTTCTAAATCTGTACCAGAATGGTTGTGTGTCATTTTATTGACTCCAGTTCGTCGACCAAGCAATTGAGGGCAACCATCATCGTGTAGAGGATTGGGAAGTGGTGTGAAACAACTGTTGATATGCTTGTCATCTATAAGCTTCTGTTTTCTTCGTTCGCCTTCTATTAAAAATTTGTCTGAACACATTATAAGCGCTCGCAGCAATGACCGCATTATGACACGACATGGACATTCATTATTTTCTGTTGATAACATTTGTAATCTGAACTTAAAAGTTCCTGCAACACTTTCATCGTCCAAAAACTCTTTAGAGTGCTCTAAGCATTCAGCAATCTTTTGTTCTTTATTGCACAAAAATTTACTCCATTTCAATGCTACATCCACTAAATATTTTTCTTTCCCTTGCTTACCAGTTGCACTTTTTTTAAGTTTGTAGATGAATACAAGCTCTGGGCTTTCCAAACCATAATCCCAGCGTTCAAGGTATGATATGCTCTCACCTCCTCTGCAGGGAACAATTTTATTTGTGCGTTTCTTTATTTCGTAATCAGCCAATACAGCCGTTCCAACAAGAAGTATGAATCCAAGTATTTGAGAAAGAATCATAGCAGCAAAAGTTAAATTCTTTTTTATCTGCACATCCAGACTGAGTAAGCACCACAGCGCAGTCCAAGCAATTACAATAGCTAATGTATCAATGATCATGATTGTCACATAAAATATTTTTCGGAATACTAGAAGCCTAACCCCATATAAGTCTTTACAAATCTTGTTCCTAAGTTTTTGGCATGTTAAACCACAGGTTAAGGGAATTTCAGCATGTTTTGTGTGCAATCGTCTAAGCTTTACAGTTGTCCACCTTTCTTTTTCGTAACGCAATTTATAATTATTTAACCCAATGCTAAAGCATGCCATGCCATAACGCGAGTGTGCATCCAAAAAATGGTTTTCTCTAATAAGCAATTCTTCAGCCTCAAATACTGTCACAAAATTTCTTCCTGCTTTTATTTCTGCTAAGTCCTTGTCCAACCAACCTTGTACACCAGTATTTGCAACAGTCTTAGCAGCAATCAACAAGCTACTTGAAACTTGCATGCCAAACATCCGTATAATACGGCCATTCTGATTCTTAATCCACATTGCATCAAATCACCCAGGATCGTGGAACTAATCCTGTAAAAATTGCCTGTGTCATTCCTGTCAACCAGGGAGCTCCTGTATCTGAGTCTAGGCTGCCATCTGGTATAAGTCCAACAATTAGATTGGGAAGTGATGATGCAAGTTGCGTAATCTTAAAACAAGAATAGCTGCCTTGATCGAAAATGCATTCTGCAACAACAATAGGTACAATACTTGTCAACAATAAAATGAAAGGCCTTAATATATTTGTGAAGCATCTCAACCCACACATTGTACAGAAAGATAAAACTCTACTGTGCAATTAAATCTGCCACCAAATTTATATCATACGATCATACGAGGAAAAATATTTGGACCATAATTATAGAATTTTGTGCTATAATTGCCATCATGCCGTTTTTGAGTTTTTTAAAAAGCGTTGGCGTTTTGAGTCGCATTAAATTTATCTCATGTTCCATTTCGTCACACGTGCGTGATGGTGGTCACCTGGTCTCGTTCACGGATGGACAAATGTGAGAAGAAAATTTCTTCGCAAAATTGCAAAACCGATTGGTTACATATAGATTAGATAAATTCGCAAATACGTATACTGTATTTCAAGATGTTAGAAAAGTTTCTAATATACATCGTAAATTAGGGGGGTTAGCAACTGAGATAAAAAAAACCCCCATTCTTCCAATCCAAATTTATTAATATAGTTCAATTTCACTTATACCGCATATACAAGAAATAGTAATTTTTTATGTTTTATTTTCGATTCAAAAATTCGGAACGTGAAACTGCTTATTTCATAAAATTATTTGATATATTGCGCCAGACTTTTCTGTCTTGCATGTCATGTGGATAATTTCACCGCATCTATTGTACACATGTGGATGGCCAGTTTTATTCTAGCTCGGATCTCTGATATGTCAACATATAGTTAATCAATTAGAATGGGCATGCCGCCATATACCAAAGAACGCCCAATGTTTTTTAACTGCTCATTACCTCGCCAAGAACGGCAGTTCCGAAATATTTTCCTTATCACGTTGTGGGTGTACACAGCCATGCTACGATTTCCGACATGTTGTGGGGAGTACACAGCTGTGCTTATTCTCCGACACTCTTAAGAGTAAACCGTGCTTACTCTATCGGCACGTCGTGGGGAGTACACGGTCGTGCTTCTCTAAATGGCATGCTGTGGGGTGTACACAGTCGTGCTTTCCGATTATCAAAACTTCTCAATTCAAACTCTATGCACTATCGTATTACAAAATGCCCAGATTTGTTCCAATTTCTCTAACACGTTGTGGGGGTACACAGCCGTGCTCTCAAATTCCGAAATATAGTAGTATTTTAGACGTAGAATTTGCATATAAGACTCATCAAAATATCAATGAACTTTTTAACAAATTAAATATTCAAAAAAAAAAAAAAAAAAAAAAAAAAAACTAAATTAAATTAAGATAAAATAAGATAGACTTTTATTCTGAATTATGGAGCTTACAATGAGTTCATTGCAAGTTGATGATGAACTATTTCAAAGATATCTTAAATCTGCCGAAGGTGGAAATACCGGTGGACAATATAATCTTGGATTTTGTTATGAGAATGGAATTGGAACTAAAAAAGACGAAGAGGAAGCGTTTCAATGGTATCTGAAATTTGCTGAAGGTGGAAACCATCAAGGACAATGTAATCTTGAAATCTGTTATGATAATGGAATTGGAACCAAAAAAGATGAGTTGAAAGCATTTCTTTGGTATCTTAAATCTGCTGAAGGTGGAAATACCGGTGGACAATATAATCTTGGAATTAATTATC